TTAGAACTAAGAAGTCGAAAACATTTACACTATTTGAAACCAATGTGTTTATTTGGTCAATGAGGTAAGAAGAGCTTGATAAAGAAAGAAAACAAAAATTAAATCCGATTTTATACCTCTACTTTCAGGAGCTTCGACTGTCAAGTGAACGGCACCAACCGATGTGCAAACTACAGTAAGGAATCCCACGAATTCGCTGTAAAGGTTATCTAACTGTGAATTCGGTGCATTCATGAGGTACGCAGAGAGAGTGAGGAAGATGCTACGACACAGCTCACGTCGGTACAGGAATAAAAGTTGAGGGGGAATTAGGGGAACAGACGTACTGTTGGTGTGGAACAAAGCGGATGCTGCAGCATGCGGCAGCAGAAGAAGATCAAATCCTGATAATCAGAAGCGTCTGGCGCCAAAATCACAAATTTCACCTTGTCTGGCGTCGTTTTGAGTGCTTTGCACGCAACACTACCTCAACACAAGTGATCGTGCGGACAACGCCCAACATTCTCACTTGGCTCCCCTCAAAAATACCCACTGCCTTCGCAATAATTGCTTTAAAAAACACTCATTTACCTTAGAATAGGAATTTGAAATCCCACTAACTAAGAAAGGAGTAAGGTAGCAGCTATGTGCATTTGGAATTATGCTGATTCTTCTCAAGTTTGTATAGCTTACACCGATACCTAGAAAAGATGTCCCTCGCTTATGACCCATTTTTCCGTTCTCATGCTTAGCTAAACATAATTGAGCAAATGACTTAAATAAAACATATTTTTGCCATGGTACTACCAAAAAGGATATTTGAGAAGTGGTAAAAATTGGACTTTAATAAAAGTGCCGAACGCCTGAGAAATGCGGCACGAACTTTAGGCCGGGTGATTTCATGGCCAAGTATATCGAGCTAGGGCTCGGAAACCACATTAACCAGTAGTTCCTTCTGTTCAAATGGTTGACAACAACAAAAAAAATAACTGTGTACATTTAATGACCACACATTCTGTGAATCTCGAGGTACTACGACGTACCACGGTCCTGTTGTATGCCACTTTCTCTTAGGGGGTACTGATCGTTCTCCTTAGCTGAGTTAATTAATTGTTTTGATGCCTAAGAGTGCTCTAATTTTTCTTACAAATTATCCTTGAAGGGGGTCTGTCAACCACTCTATGATATGATTAAATTTACTTGGCCTATTAAAACAGTCGAAATGCATTGCTTTTGGCAGTTGTGTTTTTGGATGTTGCACACAGAAAAGTACCGCACACACCTCTTCGTGAAACTCCGCATTTTCTGGAAGTTTTTAAAATCTTCCCTTACATGTTCATTATCATTTCGTACGTTCCCTAGTTTTGGTATAATTGAATTCCTATGAAGTCCTTTAGACCACCTTTGGACTGATATTTTTAGATCGTCTATGAATACTTAGTCCTGATGTGTCCAAATTATAGATTGAATTATTAAAGGAACAAGATTTTCCAAGGTAAACACACAAGCTGCATAATCTTAATGCTATCTTGATAATATCTAACACCAATCAAAATCCCCAATATCTTTCCTCGCACATTGGTAGTGAACGTTGTGATTCATCTGATGAATACTTTGATGCTAACGGAAATCTTGTCGATGTGGAGGAAAAAAATACGCATATATTTGTACTGAGCTGTCTGGATGTAATAATGACCGTAGGTTTTTGCGAAGTTTTTGTTCATCCATCGAGGACCCTTTCTAATGTGTGACATGAGCGTAAAAGTAGCAGGTTTAAATTGCAACATTTTTGCATCGGAAAACATGAAGTCAGCGAATCCATACACTGGGAAGGTTGGAAAGGGAACAAAGGTTTACCTCCGCAAGGCTGTACGCTTTGCAGCTTGTCATTGAGCGAGTGCACAGCAAATGAATGCTTTCGATGGTGACTAACCATCCTAGCACAAACCCACGCACACGCGCACAACACAGGGCCCACAAAGGTCCGTAGAAGTTGATTCATGTTCGCGTGCCACCAAGCACACATAACTGCACAGTGGGTGATGCATGCACACACGTATACACCACAGTCTCTCCCTTTCTCTCCCCTATATCTCGCGTCCGACAAGACAGAGTTCAGCCAGTCAGCAGGTGAAAGAGAAGGGCTGTTTCTAATCGGAAAAGTTGCAAAATATGACCATGATCATATGGCCATGAGCCCGTAGACAGAGTAGCACCAGTTGGATGACAACGGTGCTTGTGCTGGTGGGAGGTCGAAGGTCAGGCAGGTCACCTGCAGTCGCTCAGGTTCCAGGATGAGGGAGATGGAATCAGGTGATAAAAAAGGATGCCGAGGTCACAACGAACAGCAGGACCGTGTGTTAATGCCTCCACCAGACTTGTCATTCTCCCTCCCCCGAGTGTAAATGTTTTATGCGCTCCCTCAGGCCGACCTCAAAATCACTGGTCCTGCTGATTCCTTTCGATAAAAAATGATTTTTCATGAGCAACAGAACCCTTTCCTACAAATCCCTTCCATTTTAATTAGTCCACTTTCAAGTTTGTGTAAAAATTTTCTTCATTCAGGGAATTTACGTTGGAGAGACTTATTAGTTCGCATTGGATATGCTTTTATAATATGGAACCGTTAGATTCAAGCCGGAATTACTGCAGTTTAGCCTGTAATGCACTATGCCAATGATCCATTTAGGAATTGAGATTTTCATGTTCACCCATGGATTCCAACTCATCCCCCAGGTTGAAAGATTGGATGACCTCCCTAAACGAATCACAATGCATTGCAATACCTTTTCAGTGTAAATTTAAACGACAGTTCACAGTGTCATTAATAACTGAAGCTTATTAACTCAAAACAGCAATTAATTTTGTATTTGCACCTTATTCACCGAAAAAAAATTGCGCCTAGAGAATCCATTTATTTTGCTTAAAAGAAAAAGGTTTCTATATTACTCGGATAAATGTTGGAATTCAGTGACACCTTTGGGTTGGATCCGTAGCCCACAATGCACAACCTTGTGGTTATATCAGCTACTAAGTCGAGTACAATTATTTTTACTATTTGAGTAAACCTCGCCTTGGTGTAATCCGGTTTTCAGATTTATTAAATAGCTACTTTTTCCCGTGATATCTAGTGGTAACATTTGTGCTTGTAACACCGTGTGTTCTACATGCCTTGGAAAGTGACAGAGAACTGAATCTCAATTGAAGGCATCATTATTTGCTGCTTGAGATAGGCAGTCTGACTAACGCCAAATGTGCATAACACCCCCAAATCAGCATTTCGCAAAAGTGGACCTCAACCATGCCAACAGCTGCTGCCTTCCTCTATTTCATCTTAATCTGGCAAGTATAGTATTAGTAATGTGGCAGCCTCCCCACGATCCTTTTTTATGACAGAGTTGACAAATCCCCTGAGATGACTTTGGGTTCAATTAATTCCATCAGCGGTAACTATGATCACCGGCTAACTTCCAGAACAAGAAAATCAAATAAAAGTGCACTAATAGCTCAGTAACTATGAAAGAGAGATGTTGCGCTTCCTCACATGATTATTTAGGTCCTGACAATTTTTAAGTTAAAAGTCATAAAACTCTCTGCTCCCTGCAACCGCGGTTTGCATGTATTTAAAAGGGCAAGTCTCCTCTCTTCATGTCGTGGACCTGTTTATGTCTTTTAAGGCCCATACGCGCGCCTATTGCTCCTATCCCCTTCCCCCTTCACCTCTCCCCCTACCCCTACCTCCACATCTACCCTTCACTGCCTAAGTCGACGTACACTGCACACACAGTTAGCCCACCTCCTTTCTCCTCTGGGACGTCTGTGGGGCTGATCGCCCTGCCTCGATTCCCACGTGGGTATGCGCACGGGAGCAAGAGGAGGTGGATTCGTTTTGTCTATAACTGTGAATAGGTGCGTGGGAGAAGGAGGGAAGGGTGGCACCCCAGCGGTCCCCCTCACAGACAAAACAACCCATGGCACGTGCGTGGATGTGTGCGCATTTGTATGTGTGTACGTGTGTGCCCGCGGCGACCAATGAGTGCTGACTTGGATGACGCATAGTGTAGCTACTTTTCCATTCTCCAGGCTCGAATATCTACCACTACAACGGGATCGAACAGGTCCTCGAACACAGTATGTGCTGAATTTTTAGCCAGAAGAGTACGATTAATGTAATTACTTCAACCTTTTTGCAAGGCAGAGCTAACTCATAAAGTGCAAAATGATCATTTTAGCCAGTAATAATTGACTCACTTTATTTTGATGCGAATAGGAGCTGTTTGAGATTTGAAAACGAGTAGTAAATCAGTGGTAAACCAGAAAGCATTCAAACAATTGTAAGTCTGGATTTTTTAAGAATTCATGGCACATTACTAAAAGGTATTTCGAAACCTAATACCGTGATACATCTAAATAGCATACTGTCAAGGCGTTTAGAGCTTGCTTCTTTGTAGTAAGCAAATAATAATTACGGTACAATAATTAAATCATAAACTAAAAAATATCGGTTGGTGTCACAACCACTCAGCGGTAAAGAAAACACGCTAACTGGTATATTGAGCAGAAAGTCTTACGGTTAATAAAATAAGTTGCTTATAAACCTGGCTTAAACACTATATTATTAGCCCATTTAAGACTTCAACAGCATAATTTTACGCAAATTCCTTAATGAAATGTTGTACACATGACATACGGGTTTTTGGGGGGAAAAGATCTGCTGAAGCATAATTTTTTTATTAGTATTCCACTACAGTATCCACTACAGTTAGTAAAAAATTGGCTTTTCGGGCTTATCACCTGTAACAGAAAAAAACGCAATTCTTATTGGGTTACCGACGTGCATGCGATAGCCAATCACTAGGGTGACATTCCACCTTCATATTTTGATTGGTTGATATTATGCAGGGGGTCCAAGGGACAATTTAAAACCCACCACTCTTGTAACTGAAGCAGAGAGATCTCCAGATTTTACAGATCGCACCCAATTTATTATTCTCCAAGGTATAGATTAGATTTCAACAGAAATGACGTCATTTAATTACACCTCTCCAAGACTCAAGAAAGGTCGCGGACCACTAAAAGCCTACTACCTCCCAACATCTACCTCAGCGCAATCCGTTCTGACCACCAATAAGTAAGTAATGTGACACATTTTCTGCACTCTAAATTCATTTAGATTATTTCACTTTATTTTTGATACCTTTCGCTTTCAGAGAAAGTAAAAGCCCTGTTAGTCTCCTAAAAACCTATTGGACAGATAGTGAAGATGCCCTATCGATTATGAGTTCATTCTCAGAGGACAGTTCTTCCTCCACCTCTATGCCTCGTTACACCTGTACCCCGACACTGAATCAGACGTCAAGGGTATCGAATAGCAATTTGCAGCAGCACTTCCCCACCATCGTAGGGGTCAAGCGGAGCAACGGTTACGTGGAACGTAAAGGCTCCGAAAGTTGTGTGATTGCGTGCGCCTGCTGCTCCCCTTCAGCACCCGCGAAGCGGCCCCTCGTTGCCATGGGGGCGGGAGGGCTAAGAGCTATGCGTGAATTTCAAGTCGCTTATCAGCCCCCCCTGACTGCCCCTTCCACACCCTCTTCTCAACACCTCGCGCCCATCTGTCCAGTTCCTATGCTGCCACCACATCTCGGCTGTTCAGGCCTGCCGGACCAAGCCTCGCCGGTTCGCCGCTCCATTGAAACACAAACTTCACCTCCTGAAGGTCAATTAAGTTCAATTTTTTTCTAAAAAAAAGACGGCTATTATCATCTCAGTATTTGTTTTAGATAATAAAAAGAGGGCTAGACACAGTCATTCAAGAAGGAGTTCGGGTGCGCTGCTCAGCTCAATCAAGAGGAAGATCGATCACATTCGTCGATCGGTGAGTTCGGATAGGACGGGCACTCGCACGCTTCTCCGTAATGCATCCAATCCAGACGCTCTAAAGCGTCGAAATGATGAGGTCGCTGGAGTCACCAAGTGCACCCTGCTTCAGCGCTTTGCGGACGAAAGTCGACTCGTTCAGTTGAGACGCCGATCGACTTCTGATCAGTTTGGATTATTTATCAAAGTCGACTCTAAGGGTAAGGGTGCAAAATCCCTCCTTCCTCCTCCCTCTTTAAGGCAGCATTAGCTCGTTAAATAAGTGCAAAATCTTTAATGGGAATACATTACTACCTTAGGTCTGTGCATAAATCGTCTGGGTAATATAGAGTTTACCGGCGGCGGTCGCAACTGTCTGCGTGCGGGAGATCGCGTGGTGGAAGTGCAAAACATCCCAGCTAAAGGTCTGGACGCAGGTGCCGTGCGGAACCTCCTTCAGGGTTGCCAAATAGCACTTCTCAAAGTGAAATCCACCTCCAGATAATGTTTTTGATGCATACGTTATTGAAATTTACGAGCATTTATTTTTGTACATATTTTAATGCTTAATTATGTAAATATGGAGATGCTGTGATGCATAGGTGTTTACTGGGTTCTTCATTTCTTCAGAGAGAAAGAGACATGGTTAAGCGCAAACTATGGTAAAATATGCTTACACGTTTAGAATGAAATCATGCTTTAATCATAGTGTTTAATAGTGCCCTAAGGTGGTGCAGAGTTTGTTTAGCCAGAATTTATTTGGAATGTGGCATTAATACTGTAAATTTGGGTCTGACATTTCAGCAATCACAGCTGCTTGTTCACCTTAAAATGAATCCTCAAATGTGCAACAGTAAAGCAAATGAAATCCCGATTCAAATATGAATGAGCACAAATTAAGAATAAAGTAATTATTTATTGGCTATTTCTGGTGGGCAACAGTTTGATATGGCATTATTTTGCATCTAAAATTCGAGACCTGTCCGAATGATTTGGAATTTAAAAGACAGTACCTATTAGGAAACAGGTTTGGATTCACCCTCTATGGGTGTGCCTGGAATTGCCCATTTTGGCGGCTACTCAAAGCCGTTAGTCTGGTTTACTGCTTAGTTGGATAGATTTGAGGTAACAGATTAACATTGTAGAGGCGTAATCGAGTGACATTGCGGGGAGGTAGTAGGGCTGATCCCAGCGGCAAACGGGAGTCCACACGTGCCTCTGCAGGCTCTCACGCAGGCACGTACACGCAGACAGGGCACGTCGAGGGTGCTGTCGGAGGGTGGTGAAGTGCGCTAAGTTAACGGTGAGGCTGGGAGCAGCACGCTCTGCCACTGTCACACAAACAGGGCACCACCACAAGAGGGGGCAGAGGGGAGAGAAGGCTTCAGTTTAGTTGAAAAAAAGGAGACAACAGGAATGGAGTGGACCACAAAGGCGGCGCTCAGTGAATTGGATACCTCCATTCCTGACAGATGGTCTGATAATCGCAATGCTGGCCTATCATTGTAGTGAGGTATCGAAATCACGCCTAGATGCATGCCTCAGCTCCCAATGACGGGAACATCGCTGTTTATTTCAAAAGCTATGGGCATTAGGAGATACCGCATGGAATTTCCGGATTTTATTAAACGGAATCTTAACAAATGACATATTATTAACAACTAAATATAGTCTGATAATTTTTTTTAGAATTTCATAATATCGGAGGTGGTATATACCAGCCTCCTTCAAGTAGCTGTGGTCCACATAAATGCCTATTTACTTTATTAGAGCCCTTCTATACGAGGAATTAGAATATTTTTAGTGATATATTAGTGTCCGACAAAGACATGCAAACGCTAAAAGCAGGATTTTAATTAAACTCTTACGGCTTCTTCCTGCAGACCAAAATAACGTTATCTACAAAGAAAATAACGACAGACACAATGATCCACACTGCTATATCGAACCACTATCGTGTTTTTGTAAGGCTGTGCAGAGAACTTAGTTAGAAATGGCACAGTCTTCGTTCTAAGCAAGTTTATAATACACACCTCATAAAGTGATGCACATTTTTACTAACTATTCACCTGGAACTTACAAATTTACACTTGAAGCTATTTCACAACGGAAGCATGAACTAAATGTGGGACTCCAACACATTTTGCGTCGTCCACATCGCTTCTACTAGGCAGCGAACTTCTCAAAACCGATCTCGGCGTGTTAATTGTTCCTTCGCTTCTTAGCACATGCGAACATTCAAACTTAGGCTGAATGCATGTGTGTGTGTGTGTATGTGCGAGGGCAAAGGGCCTCACGGCAAATCAGATAACATCGTTTCCTTTTAAGGGACTAGGATGAGTCGATATATTTGACTTATTCCCAAATGGGAATGAAATTTTATTTGTATCTGGGATGGCTAACTCATGTTTTTAGAAAAAAAAAAGCACTCAAACGGATACATTTTAGTCAGTCAGACTCTAAAATCTAGTAGAAGTTTTTATCATTTTTAACCGATAGACTCGTATAGGGAGATGAAAATCCAAATCACACAAGTCAATTGGTGCTGTTGTCTATTTCGCCCTTAATTAGTGTGATCTTTATTTTCACCCTTAGCAGCAATTCATTTAGGATTCCCTACTTTAATTTATGAAAGATTGCTTTGTATTAATATGTTACGTCCTAACTTTGAGGAGAACCATCAGAAGTTCATTTAACGGTAGGATGTAAGACAACAAGGCAAACTGGCATGTCTTAATAAGTACTGATGAGTCTACTCTACCCAAAATATAACCTATCAAATGCAGAAAATTCTGCAAAGCAAAACTTCCCGGATTGAGAAAACATTCGGATTTCATGACATGGTAATATATTCACCCACATTTCTAAAAGAACTCAGAAACACCTTTCCCTGAGTATCGTATTCATTTTATGTGAACCCGTTTGTGTGTCCTTGCTCATATCAGCGAAGGATATCTGGTTTCCCTTATCAAAAGTTTAACAATAGTAGAGGGTACCAGTTAGGTTATTTTTATATCTCCGGTGAGACAGCTTTTAAAAATCAAAATGCCTCTAGCAGCCTCAATTTCGTTTGAGACCATGGAAATTGCAAGACTCACAGGATTGTGTGATTGATTACCAGGCTTTTGCCCACACCCTGGAGACTAAGATGCATCCAATGTGGTCTTAAATATCTCGCTTCCTGTCAGTACATGACGTGACACAAAGCCACTGTTCTCTACTGGACTTGTATCCATGCCATTGAAGGGAATATATCCTTTCACATTTGACCACATTCTAGTATTAGCATCACTAAATTAGAAGTCATCTATGTGGTACTAATCAAAAGGCCATAAACGTCACCTTTAAGGGCTTAAGAACAATAATTTAGATTGGAGTTGCCAGGACACGTGTCTTAACCTAGCACAGTGGGGGCAATTTAAACGGCTCTTTTCATTCCGGTATGGTACCACTTTTGTGGAAATAAAAATGACGTTTTCAGCCAGAAAGTCCAAGTTGAAGTGCTGGGATATCATTTCTTAAGCTGCAGAGGAGTGGAAATCTTTTTCAAAAATACCACTCAAAGATGTGACAAAAGGAAATCAACAAAGATGTTTTGGGAATGAAAAAGTGTTGTTTCTTTAGTGTTACAAATATTCAAGATACTCTGCCTTTTTTCCTTGACATTAACCTGATAATAGGCATTTTTACGGATAGTTCGGCAAGCCTTAAGTCCTCTTTTGTGTATAATGCAAGAGCAGTTAGATGAATCACTTACCATTGTCGGAGCAATATCGCCCACCTGGAGAAGACGATGGTGTCGCATTTTAAGAAATGCCTTGGTGATAAGGAAAAGTAACATTCAGAGGGTTCTTATGGGTCTAAATGCCGTTGGATCTGCGTTCCAGGCGTTTCGATCGCATTGGTAATGCTTGAGGCCGGAAACTACTAGGAATCCTTGTTGGAAAGAGATAAATCCTGCTATGAAGGTAAAATCACCAATCATTCATCATTGTTGCATAAGTGGTTTAATTAGACATTTTACAATATGATGACACTTCGAGATTTCAGGCGCAAATAGGATTTTCTGGTATTTCCGAAGGTTTCATAGCCAGATTCGCAAGAGCTTATACATTAACTTACGATTATAGGCTGGAAAGGTACACCAACACTCAGATGGCAAGCAGTCAATATCATTGCCGTTTAACCATGTCGCTAAGGGTGACAGGAGCTAAAAACTGCATATTTTGAAAGATCATGTGGCATAAGCAGAATAAATACCAGAAGGGACATAAGTTCCATCATTCAATAATTTAAGCAGCAGAAATGTCAGGACGGATGCTTGCGCATTCATAGCCGTTAATTTCCATATAATCACCTCAATGATATCTTTTTAGACTGATTATTTAGTACGGCCTGCACTGAATATACCAACAAAATAAACGTAATTCAATACACCTTTTAGCAACATTTGGTATTGTAGTTGAAGTGTAGGTGGATTGGTGCGAACACATTCACACCACAATGAATTGTCAAAGCCAGGCCCTTCATGAGGCTTTATCTATTTGCCACTTGATGTATCAGCCTTCCCTGTATAACACCCCGCCAGGGCAGGTACAGCGTGATCATGTTTCAGCAAGCTCCACACAGTTGTTAGCCTCTCCCCCCCTAGGGCGTGTGCACAATTGTTTGTGTATATTTGCGGATAGGCCAGGCGTCGGCAATGACAACAACGGCGATTACGGTGGGGGCTGAGGCGAAAGAGGGGGTCACCATAGTTTCACCCACCACCATCTACTCAATGTAGGTTATCACGTGGCAATGTTTATGTGTGTGTTCTTTGTGCTTTTAGGGCGCTACAGAGCGGAGCCTCGCCACTGATATGAGCATATTTGCATATGTGAAGGAAGAAGAGGTGGGAGAATATACAATCCGGTGTGTTTGTCTTGCCAGCGATATGGAAATCGGCATAGCTTCAGCATCAAGCACCTCCTCTCTACAACTCTTTTGTTGCGGGTACACACAGCATTCACACATGATAGGGCCACTGCCACCTCTTCGTTTACATCGTCCCGAGACAAAATACACTCACTCCACCAGTGGAGGATAAGGCCATTGGTCAATGCAGAATGTGAGCTGTGTAAAAGCGGTACGGGATTTTGAGACAGGTGTGGCTCGAAAGGGGAAGGGGGAGGGGACATTGTAGGTGGCGGGGCTCATCTGACCTGTTCGAGCGTGCTCATTCTCAGCTCCGTGAATTATGTGCACAAGCCATTTCCCCGGGTTCCACTCTACTCTACCCGCCATGAGGAGTCAACGCCTCTATTGTAATTTCTTGAGGTAATCATTTGTGCCTGTGAGGAGAAAATATAATTAAAAAAGGCTTGTAGAAGTATAGAAAATGTTCCCTATATTATCCTTATTAGGATTTTATACAATTAAGTAGGGAGACCTATCCAGTAATTGTAAAAATAGTAGTTACATACAATTTTGTGGTAAAATCAACAAACAGTGAAAAAGATACAT